GGGTGTGGGGGTAGGGGGTGGGTTAGTGGGGATTGATGAAGATGGGGAATAGGGTGGGGAAGGTGGAAAAGGTTTACTTCCCTTGGGGAAAATATTTTCCTCCAATCGGAGAAAAATGAGTTCACGAGGAAAATATTTTTCAAAACATTTAAACCAACCAAACATGGAAAAATTGGAAAATATTTTCCGAAAAATATTTATATTCGTACCAAACACACCCGAATAGTCGTAATATTTTTCGGCGTCATCACAGCCACATGCTAGAAATTGTCTTTATTAAAAACCATGAGATTTGCATAGGGTCCTTGTAGGGTAATCCATGATATGTGCTGTCTATTGATTAAATATCTCGTGTTCAATAAATTTGTACAAAGTTGTTTAAAATATTATTTTAAAACCTCGATAATATTTAATGTATCCATGTTAATTGCAAATCGATTGCTGTAGTTTATTAAATATTGTTACTTTTTTCCTTTTTGTTATTCACTTTTTGAGGTGTATTATGCATTGTAACAAATAAATTTTTTATAATTTCATAGATATAAACAAAAAGTTTCGTTAGATCAATCATGTATTTACGGCCAATAAAAAAAAATGACTTTATTTGGTTGGTAATGTCAAACTTCTTTGATATGTGTCTTCTCCGAGTAGCGCTAATTCTTATGTTTCAAGGACTTCTAAAGTTTAAACTACACTAGTCAATGCAGGATTCACGTATACCTAATCGCTATTTGTTTGTTCTTACAAGTAGTTAGGTTTAAATTGAACAAATCAATTGGATACAAAACTTGGAGAATGGCAAAGTTTTAGTTGGTTGACCAATAAAAGTCATGACTGGAAAAATGAAAAATTGTAATAATATATATGTAGCATCATTGAAGAAAAATATTCGATGCTATAATACATATATATTTCTTTTTCATAGAGAACATTTAACAAGAGAAGAAACAATTTAATTGGTGGAAGAATTTAAACTCGTAATGCTACAAATCGAACTGAGGTAAATTTGCCAAATAGTCTAGGATCAATAGATTTTGTGCTCATGATTGCAACTTTTTAAATTTTATGTCAAATTTCTCAATGAATTTTCATTTATATGTTGAAGAGATTTTTACATCATAGTTTTCTTTTATCCAAATCATAGGGCATTATATAGAATCATTTCCAGAATAATTTTCATGAAGGCTACTTTGGGTCTCTGTTACAAGTAAGGATGTCTAACGGGAAAGGATGTGACGATATTAGCTGGACGAAACGAAAAGGTTTCTTATAGGAATTAGGGGATCGGGACGTTATGGGGCTGGGATTAGCGAGACGACCCCGTAGGCCTCCATCCCACTAACTAATGGGACGGTACGGGGGTCATTATTGGATTTTTAATTTTTTTTATTTATTTAAATATTTAAGCACTAAATATTATTTAAAAAAAATTAAATTGGCAACAAGTTTTTAAAATTGGCAACGGCTAATATTTTAATAATATCAAATTTAATAAATTATAAAGAAGCTAAGTAAGCAAATACAAAACATAAAAAGAAAGACGTGTAGCAAAATATTTTTAAAAATATAATTTTTTTAAAGTATTTATTTAAAAAACTTGTATTTTATTTAATAAAATAGTCTCAATTATGAACTATGAAGTGACTAAGTAAGATAATTCTTAAAAAGATTCAACGCTAAAGCCTTTTAGTTCATTCAATATAAATTTAAACTTCACACACAAATACAAGTTTTTGAACAACACTTAAAGAAGAACACTTAATCTACACTACCACCTTTTAGGAAGAATTTTGTTTGAACTAAGTCTTTAAGTAGTTAATTACAATTTATCATACTAATATTGTGATGACCCGATAGGTCATCTTATATTTTAGAACTTAATTATGTGTTTCGAGATCTCAAAAACCTCATTTTAGCCTTTTTCGATTTGCATGCGCAGTCCGGGTGTTCTTCCAGAAGGCTTATATGTTAAAAACTGATAAAATAAGAATTTTTGTCTTAAAAATTAATTTGAGTTGACTTCGGTCAACGTTTTGAATAAACGGACCCGGATGCATATTATGACGGTCCCGGTGGGTCCGTATCGAAAAATGGGACCTCGGCGTATGTCCAGAATTGAATTCGGAGGTCCCTAGCTCGAGTTATGAATTTTTGTTAAAAGTTGAAAATTAAATCTTAAAGTTTAATGGTTTTTAAGAATTAACTAAGGTTTGGTTTTTGTTGATACCGGGTCCGTATTTTAGTTTCGGAGTCTGATACAGGTCCACTATGATATTTATGACTTGTTTGTCGATGAGAAACGTAGTTAATTTGACGTGATTCAGACATTCGGTTGTGAAAATAGAAGTTTTAAAGCTTTCTTGAAAATATCATTCGATTTGGTATTTAATTCGTAGTTCTAGGTGTTATTTTGATAATTTGATCGCGCGAACAAATTCGTATGATATGTTAGGACTTGTGTACATGTTTGGTTTCGGATAGGCTACAGAAACTTTTTGCACTTAGAAATCTAGTTTTTGTGCTTCAACTGATATCTGGTGTGTTCTTCTTCGCGTTCGCGAAGGTACTCTCGCGAACGCGAAGAGTGAACTGGGTTGGGGAAGGTTTTCTTCTTCGAGAACGCGGGGCGATGGGGGCCTTACCCTTCGCGAACACGTAGCTTTAGGGACCTGGGGGAAGGGTCAGTCATCTCTTCATCGCGAACGCAAACGCCAGAGGGGAGAAACCTTCACGTACGCGATGAGGGACTCGCGATCGCGTAAGCCTAACAGGCACTGCTCTTCGTGAATGCGTCAGGATTCACGCGAACGCGATGAATACCTGAGGCCTAGTTATTAAAAACAGAACCAAAATGGGATTTTTGCCATTCTTTCAAAATTTCAAAACTAAAAGACCTAGAGGTAATTTTCCCAAGAGATTTTCTTCCCCAATTTGTTGTTAAGTGATTCTAACCTACTTTCTTTCAATTAGCCATTACATTTTATCGGTTTTCAACCTAAAATTCAGGATTTTCATGGTGGAAATTGGGGGTTTGGGTAGAATTAGGGATTTTTGTAAAATTAGAATTTAGACCTCGAATTGAGGTCGGATTTTGAAACAAATAATATAATCGGGCTCGGGGGTAAATGGGTAAATGGATTTTGGTCTGAACCTCGAATTT